TCTCTTTGCTGGTAAGATGTACCAGGGTGAAGTAATTGGCTCACAACCACACTTGTAATTAGGAGCAGAGCTGGGCTCAAAGGCCCGGTTGCCTGATAGATGGAATTTCCATAACAGCACAGTGAGCATCCAGCTTTTTTGACCTTGGTACCTGAGCCTTCCCAAGGGGCCAGAGCTCTGGCCCAATCCCTGTTCCTCAGTAGTTCTGAGCCCTGGCTAAGGTGGCCAGTCTTCTGTCACCATCCCCCAAGCTGCTTTCCCCCTCCTGCCAGCCTGGGCTGATCAAGTCCCAGCATGCCTCAGGCTGTGGCTGGCTTGAGTTATGACATAACTCTCCTGAAATTTTCCCTGTAAAGGGAAAGGGGCCAATCCAATGTGAGTTATTCTTATTGTAAGCTCCCCAAAGCCAGGGACCTTATATGATTTATCTCGGTATAACCCACAGTACTGGGGACAGGGTCTGGCACACTGCATGCAATAAATGTTTATGGAATTGACTGGAGTTTTCAGAGAGGTTGAGGACTAAGCATTCTCTCTCTCTCTCTCTCTCTCTCTCTCTCTCTCTCTCTCTCTCTCATACACACACACACACACACACACACACACACACACACACACACACACACACACACACGAATACACATTTTGTGCTCAGTGTGTGAGACTGTTTGTGATCTTTCTCTTGCTCTGACATGTTCCTTGTGTAACCTCATCACTCATTTTAATTACATTATTGTGGACTCTATTTGGCCTTTGGCTATTTCTGAGACCAAATTAGAAAATTTAAAAACAGCCATCTTTCTTAGCAGAGAACCTAGTCCAGCACAGCGACTGCCCTGGGGTGGGAGCTGGGATTTGGGGGTGTGGGTGAAGGATTTATTTCTTGTAGACCTCTCCTTTATTCTGTTTGCATTTTTCTTTTACTCATGTTCGTGTATTGTGTTTTCAAAAAATAAAAATAGAAACATTTGAGACAAAAAATACAGCCACGTTGCTTCTAACACCACCACTGACTTACATAAAAAGCTTTTATAACTGGGTTAGTGAGAGACTAAAGTTGGAGCCTGTTCTGGACAGGTTTACAGGTCCTCAGGGACATATCACCATCACCTGGAGGGGAAGGAGGACAGCACAGGACTGGATGAGCCTAGCAGGGGTGGCCTTTCTCCAGGGACAGTTCCCTGTGTTTACCCTCAGCATGCATTTAGTGATTCTCCCTCACTGGGTCGGAGACAGACCTTGCAAGGATTAGGCGGGGTAAGCTCAGAAATCTACTCAGCAAGATGAAATCTGTCCCTTCATTCTTAGGCTCAAGTGGAAGTGATTAAAACAGAGAATCAGGGCTCGAGGGGCAGAGCCCTGACTGTGGCTCCAAGTTCTGTTACATTCTTTCCGAAGATTGTGGGATCATTGGCATCTGGTCTCCAGACGCCGTGGCAGCTGTTTGGAGCCTCTGAGATAAACTCCGAGGAGGATCAGGGTCTCCAAGGTGGACGGTGAACTTATACCAGCTAATGAGCTCGCTGCAGCTTTCTTCTGAGTCCAGAATGTTCCTGGAGGGATTAATTTTTATCAAATGACTTCTTAATGAGACTACGCTTACCTCCAAATTTGGAGACCTCAAAGCTCCTGAAATTTAAAGCTAATCATCAGACTGGCTGGCTTTGAATGTGAGGAGTTCACACAACCAGAAGCCCAGAAGACAGCAAGTCAGAGGCAGCTAGGAGCCAGCAGAGTGGGAAATACAAGTAGGAAATTCAGCAAATGCCTTGACATGTTCTGCAAAAGGCGCAAAGGTCTGAAATTAGGGTGCAGGGAGCTGGGTCCGGCTTACAGATGCAGTTCATTGAGTCCACAAATAATTTTAAATCTAGGGAGATTTCATGTTTGAGATTCTACCCAGATGACAGTCTCCTGAGCTGCTCTTTGTGATAGGCTATGTGTTTCAGGCTGCCACAGTCCCTACCTCTCCCTTCATAGCAAAGCTGTGTGCCATGTTCTGTTACTTGCCCAGTTCTTGTGGGCATTTGGTCTTAGTTTCCTACCCTTGATAAAACCATATCCGTGCTTAGAAGTTATAGGATGGAGGGAGTACCTTGTAAAGTTGGGGGTCATTTTGCAAGTTTTGGAATCATTTGGTTGACAGACTAGACCAAGATTACTCCATGGCACTCAGTTTGGGAACTCTTCGATCCCAAGCCACCCTCTGCTCTCATTTGGAGTCCCTAGGAGTTAGCTTTAGTGAACTAATAGTATTCTTTTCGAGCTCTGCATTAGAATGACTCTACGTCTGTCCTAAATCATTTTCTGGTACTCTCATATCCATATAGTCTTCCCCTCCTGTCCTAGCTTTATTTCTGTTGTTTTGATAAAATATCCTGACCAAAATCGAGGGGAAGAAAGGGTTTGTTAAGTTCATGATCCAGGTTACAGTCCATCATTTGGGAGAAGTCAAGGCAGAAACTCAAGGAGCTGTTCACATTACACTTACAACCAAGGACAGAGAGAAACCCATGCTGCCTGCTTCCTAGATTCTCTCATTATTATACATTCATCCTCTGTCTAGGGAATGGTGCTGCCCATGGTGTGCTGGGTTGGCTAACAATAAAGACATCCTCTCACAGACATGTCCACAAGCCAACCCATTCTACATAATTCCTCATTGATTTTCTCAACTGACTAGATTGTGTCAAGTTTACAGTAAAGTCTAACCAGTCCACCTCTAGAGGGTGGCCAGGACCTCTGACCCTCCTCTCACTAATATGGCAAAGATGGCAGGATGTAACTCTCAAACTTATGATTTATAAAACAGTGTATTTTGCTAGAAGACTTCATTCTTGCAGGCTTTTTGACGTATCCTAAGTGACTGTGTTGAGGAGGCCAACAAATAGCTGGGGGCTGTTAGCTGGAATCCTGGCTAACAACTAGCTAGAGACTGGGGCACTCAGCCCAAAGCCCACAGGATCTGAATCCTGCCAACAACCACATGAGCTTCAAATCTGGTTCTTCACTAGTCAAGCCTTTGGATGAGAGCTCAGAGCCAATAGGCACCTGGACTGCAGCCTTGTGAGACATGGAAGTAGAGACCCAGCTAAGTCATGTTCAGACTCCTGCTTGGTAGCAACCATGGTTACTAGAGATGAGCCATTTGAAGAGTTGTTGATAATGTCGTTAGCGATGGGTAGCTAGTGCCTCCTCACTTGAGTTTGGAGGGTCCACCCTATGACTACCTTCCTTCCTGGTGTGATTGTCTCTCTATCTCTAGTACTTTCATTCATGGTTTAGAATTTCTAGCTGGTGATATTGATTATCAGCAGTCTAAACTCCACCCAGAATAGACTTTTCTTTAGGGTTAAGAGGTACCATCAGCTCATTCTCTTTTATTCAATTTACTGAATGTCTCTCACCATACATATGACTTTCTTCATTTAAGGGTCCCTCTCTTGTAGTCTCAGTGTCAGTGATGCTGAGAACTGAGTGCACGCTCCAGGACCAGTTGCTAAGTGGAATGAATATTGTTGGATAGGGGGCCTTATTTTTTCTTCTCCAGTTTCTTTCTGTTTTTCAAACACATCATAGTTTGAGTAATTTCTTTTCGGCATTTATTTTGTTTCCAGAGAATATAACCACTGTATGGATGAAGGATTCTAATGGCTAACTATTTATGCATATTTATGATTATTAAGGGGCCAAAATGTATAAATGATGTTATAGTTTCTAGATGTTTTCTAAAATGACATTTATTCTCTTGGAAATTGTAAGTGCTGACATTTACTTACTAGGCCAAAGTCACTTGATATGGCGTTAAGGAATGAAACCAGGCCAAATGGAGGGTCCTCAGGAAAACTTAGGCTATGGCAATTTTGTTAAGAGCAATCAGACTTTTATACCTTTATCAGAAACAGAATATAATGGCAGTTGCCAGGAGGCAATGATATTTGCAAGCTTTTTAGATTCATGTCTAAGACCAGTTGTCCTGTCAAACTTACACGTTTCCTTGATTTCTAAGGGAACATACAGAGAAACACAAAACAGCCTGAATGCTTCACTGCCTGAGGGAGTACATTAGTCTTTCAGGAACTGGAAGGTACATTGTGCCCCAGGAACCATGGACTCTAACCTAAAAAACCTATGGTGCGTGCCTCTCAAGGCAGCTAGGCTAGGCCAACTCCATGGTTCTCTGCAGGAAATGTAGTGTACAGGAATGCTAACATCCCTACACATTTTTCAATGCAAGACAGTGTGTTACAGTTTAATAGCTGGGAATGTTATCTTATTGTTTTTGTTTGTACTAGTTTGTTTATGAGTAATACAGAATTTTTACTAGTTGTTTGTTCTTTAATAAGGTTATATTTCAGATCCATTGACCATTTTTCTTCTAGGATGATTGATCTTTACCTAATGAACTCATATTTTACATTATAAGACCACAGAGGGGTGAGGTAATTTCGCCAGATGGAATCACTGAGAACAAAACCATATTTCATTAACTTACTCTGCAAATATTTATGGAGCACATGCGTCGTGGCAAGTACCATTCTAGATGCTCAAGGCAAATCAGATGAACATGTTAAAACAGCTTCTGAGAAGAGACTGCCTCAAGGAGCTCACAACCTAGGGGGACAAGGGACAAACAGCAACCACAGTAAACAATGCAACTGTAAAGCCCCAGTTCTTAAATGATGGGTCCTGACCTCATGAGGAAGTGGCAGAAAGGCTGTCAAGAGTCAAAGTTTTCTGAATGTGCAATAATTAAAAATGAAGTCAAAATCAGACACACATCAAATCCCGAGTGTTTTTGCAGGGCACACCCATGTAGTGTCATGTGACTCCACTGCAGCATGGTTCTGAACACACAATGCTCTCTCTTCACTACACATGTCATCATGCTACTCACTGTCCACAAATGTTGCCAATATACCTTGACTGAGCATTGAGATGATTGGTCATCTTGAGCTGCAGTGATCTTGCTGTGTATTAAATGTCTTCTGCTCTTACAGACACATAAGTTACTCAGTTGAGGAAAATGAAGACACTTAATAAATTTTTCACCGTCACTCTTCAGCATGTAAGTATAAAATTAGTATAACTTTGGGTTGTATTATTTTAGAATGTTTGATTTTAAAAATTCTTGTTTGAGTTGCTGATGAGTTTTGCTAAAACATTGTTCAATGAATTTTTGTTTTAAAATTAGGATATAATTTCAAGGGAAAAAAAAACCTGAAATAGCCCTAAATTTACTTCTGCTATTTTGTGCTGTATGTTCATGCAAAGCAGCATTTTTTAACACTGACAATTATAAAATCAAAATATCAGTCAACTCTGCAAAATGTCAAATATGCTTTTCACCCAAGAGCATCAAACATTCAGCCAAGAACTAATTCTTTATGGAAGAGGTGAACAAATAGACCCATCTTGTTAGTATTCAATCTTTAAATACATGGTAAAATCATATATATGTTGAAGAATTGTCTTAAAATAAATCCTTTTATGGTTTATTATCAGAAAATATTTGATTTGTATATGTATTTTATATTTCTGGGGTTGCATAAAAGTTCCTCAGGTGAAACGGGTCACAGGTAGAAGCAGTAAAGAGCCCAGGTATAGTTGATTAGGAGATGACAAAGCTGTTATATAGAAAAGTGGAACATAGTAATTGCCAGAGCTGGTGCATGTGTGGGATGGACTCATGGTATTAAATACGGTGGTCAAAGGATGCATCACTGAGAGTGTGATTTTTAGCTGCTATTTGAAAGAGGTGTAGAAGTTAAGATTGTGATATTCGGGGGTGAAGTCCTTCAGGGCAAGATTCAGCAGCAAGAGTAAAGGCCTTGAGACTGGGGAGTCCAGGGTTCTGGAGGGGCAGCAAGGAAGCAAGCTGTGCAGGAGAAGCAGGAGGAGGAATCAGAAGAGGAGACCAAAGTGGGAATGTGGTGAGACAGGAAGAACACAATGCAGGCCTCATAGGTTATTGTGAAGATTTTGTCTTTTCCTTTGAATGCAGTGAAGACCGACCCACCATAGAGTTTTGAGTAGAAGAGCAAATGATCTGGAAAATCATTAACATGAGATGGAACAGGAAGGCCAGACTTCTGTACCTCACCACACTGCCTGGTTTAAGATAATCATTCTACAACAACCAACTTTCTTCTAAGTATATGAAAGCCATTCCCACAACCCCAGCACCTGCACAGTGCCTGACTTGGACTGGTGTACCAGGGTCCTGTGCTGTTGTTCCCTTTGGGGGAAGGGACCAAGTAGGTGCAGTGTCAACAATACAGGCTTTGTCATCCCTCAGACTGGCATGTGACCTTGCTGTGATTCAGTGATCCTCTATTGTCTTTTGCAAACCAATTTCAAATGAACCCAGCATGTATGAACAGATCCTGTGCAAAGGGTGAACGACTGGTGAAAGCAGAAGAGAAGCAGACTATGTGCATGAATTCCAAACTCTGTTCCACAACTGTCAAGTGTGCTTTGCGGGACAGCAGTCAGACTTCCTCAGGGACCCTAACCTTGCTTCATCTCTCTTGTGTTTACACAGACACCCCAACAAAGCCTCTTTCAGTTGGTATTGCTAGCCTATTTTTATTTCCTTGTTTATACTGAAAATTTTTTGAGGTTATAAGATAAGATCTCTTCTCTCACCTCCATCCAAATCCTCTCCTATAACCTTTTCTTCTCTTCTTCAAATTCATGGCCTCTTCTTTCATTAATTGTTATTGCATGCATATATGTATATGTACATACGTATTTCCAAATATAATCCACTCAGTTCATGTAATGTTACTTGTGTGTGTGTTTGGTACTAAACTGCCAATTCATGTGCTCTCCCCTGGGGAAGACCACCTCTCCCACTCCCAGCTTTTCTCAGTTGTGTAGGGTTGAGGCCTCATGGGCTTTCCCCCACCCACATTGGCATGTCCATTGGTGGTGTTCTTGTTCATCTCACATTTAGTCACTCATGTTGGTAAGACGTTCTGGTGTGGATTCTGACTACTAGGAGATACCATCTTCCAGAAAATTTCCTGATCCCCTATAAAGATATAATCCTGTATATAAATATACATATGTGGTTTTAATGAACTTTTTTTCCATCTGGGCTAATGGTGTGCCTTCCAAGAGCCAAAATCCAATGAACAAAAGTAAAATAACAGACAACAGACGCTGTTAGAGGATATTAAATCACAGTGTGAACCCTAAGTCTGCATTTTCATTAATTAAATAAAATTAACCTTGGGTCAGGAGGCTGAGTGAGCAACTAGTTGACAGAAAATAATCAGAGCATCAGAGGGCATCTGGAAGAGACAAAGAGATGCACTGGAAGTAGCAGGGGGGATTTGGAGAGGCATGGCATTTTTTCTTTTTGGTTTGGTGAAACTGAAGGGTGCTTTCTTGGGGAGACGCCAGCAAAGAGAGAACGATAGCTAGTTGCTACTCAACCTCACTGAGCTAGCAGGTTTTCACCCCAGCCTTTGAATCTCATGTCTTATTTATAAATAGATCACTAGAGACTTTGTCAAAGCTGCCTTTAGCGGTGGGAGCAGTACAGCTAGGGCCCAAGGGAACAGAATTCCTCCAGGCTGTGGCCTGGGCAGCCAGGCCACTGTCAGAGAATCAGGATGGTGACTATAGCGCCACAATTGCTGGCTGAGATGGCAGTAGATTAAGGCACCACCACTGAGCTGAAGATAAAGCAACAAGTCCTCTTTGAGTTGTTGGTCAGGACTGTGCAAGAGACTCCCCAAAACAGATGGCCTATTGCTGTTACCCTTGGTTGTCCCCAGAGGCAGAAGGTAAGTTCCTATTGCTGAAGATACCAGGCATTTCCAAAATAGGGCCCAGAGACCCCTGATCTGGAACTGACATGAATATCTCCTCCCTGAGGACTAGCTTCCATGGAACCAGAAGTCATCACACAAGCTTCCAAAGGAGGGAGGCAACCAAGAGGGTGGAAACATTATTTTGTATTTTTTTTTTGTGGGGCTGACCAAAAGAGCCTTCAATGGATTGATAATCATGGGGTCTGGTGGCTACTGTATAGAGAGCAGACCACAGAATAGAGGCAGTAAGGTCAGTAAAGAATCCAATGAGAAAATCATGAAATGATGGTGGCTCAGACCAGGATGACATAATGGAAAGCAGGAGTATTTGGATCATGTGCCAGTGCATGAGAAAGGCCAGTAGTTGACTTCAGGTATCTCATTATGTGACCATTACCTTATTTCTTGAGAAAGTGTCTGCCTGTGAACTTGGAACTTTCTATTTTGGCTTGGTTGGCTAGCCAGTGAGCCTCTGACACTCCCAGCTCCATTGCTGGGGTCTCAGGCACACACCACCACACCCAGTTTGTTGCGTGTGAGCACTGGGGATCCAAACTCAGGTCCTCATTCCTGCTCAGTGAGCATCTTATTCATAGAACCATATGTCTAGCTCCAAGGACTCTGGATGCATTTTGAAGGAAGAGCTGGTGAAACTTCCTGACATGTTAGATGTAGCATACAAGCTGATGTGAACAAGTCAGAGGAAGGAGCTGCCATTAACTCCAAAAGAGAAGGTTGCAGAAGGAGCAAGTTTTGAAGGAAAAGATGTCAAACTCACTTTCAGACATCTGAAGGATTGTTTCTCCTGCCTTTTGTAATAGCCTTTGATTTGTCAGGGAATGGTGCTAGGCATGATAAAAGTTGTAATGCCTCGCAAGGGAGGAGGGAAAGTATGCCAAGAAAGAGAGAGGTTTCAGTGAAGGTCACATGAGTATGTTATGAAGAATTTCCTTCTTGTGGGACTTGTCATGCTCACCGTCATCTGGTTTCCTCCTGGACCCACCTGAGGAGGATGCCTAGAAGGTTGGGTAGGATTATGTGGCCAGTTGTGAACAATGGGTTGGAGTGGAAGTGAGGTGCACACCTTCTGACACAAAGTATTTAATAATCAAGCTGACAGTGTCCCTTGCCTCTGCTGTGAGGGCACAGATGGTTCAGCCACACAGCGTCAGAGCCTCTGTGATCTTTACCATCTTGGACCCCTGAGAGATTTCACAGAGCTGAGCTCTCCATTGGTCTTGCTAGCTAGCTGAGCTCTCCATTGGTCTTGCTGGCTAGCTGAACTCTCCATTGGTCTCGCTGGCTATGCATCACTAGGCAGCAGCAAACCTTCTTGGGGTAAGTGCCTGAGATTCCAGGTGGAATCTGTGTCCACATCAGAACCAGACTGTCTTGACCAAAGCAGCTCTTAAGTACAGATGCAAATTGCACTTGCCCTTTCATCTTTTATCCTTTTAAGCATCCTAGATGCTGTTAATACTCTCTGGACGCTCCTGGTAATACACCAGAACTCTCACTCACCCTCGGGGATGCAGCTCTGCTTGAGACACCCCCGCCCCCAACTCAAGCAGAGTTCCCAGGATACTGCCATAGTCCTGCTGTTAGAGCACTTTCTGCCTTGAGTGGAAATTCTCTCTCTCTCTCTCTCTCTCTCTCTCTCTCTCTCTCTCTCTCTCTCTCTCTCTCTCTGTGTGTGTGTGTGTGAGTGTGTGTCTGTTTCTGTGTGTGTCCTGCAAGTATCAGTCTATTCTCCTCTTAAGAACCATGGAGAAATACATCAAAGGAAGCTAAACCTGGGTAAAAGGCAGCTATACCACTTTACCGGGCAGAGTTGTACTTCAGAGATTTTTTTTTTCTTTATTTTGGCAACAAAAACCAATATTGCTAGTTTATGTGGAAAAAGGAAATGTCTTGGGAGGATCTAAGGACACAGAAGTTCTTGGAATCTCAGAGAAAGGTGAATTATCAACTCAAGGTGTTATAGGACTCATTTCTCAACCTTCCCTCTAAAGTTCTGCTCTAGTCCAATTGAACTTCCCTTCTAAAGCCCCAGTCTATCATTTAGATAACTGTTATTGTTTGTTTGCTGTTTATTTGTTTTTTGGTCAAGACAGATAATCTTATCAGTATGGGTCACATGCTTGTCTGTGATCCAATCACCAACTGCCACAGGAAAAGCACCTGTCTGCTTCACAACTCTGCCCACAGTCTGGACCTGGGACTTTTGGACTCTAACCAAGTGCCCATCCCGCAGCCTGCTTTCATGTCCAAAACTGCCCTGAACATATACAGAATTTCTTAGGTACATGGTCTCTTTCTGGATCGCAGAAAATATCCTTGAAGTCTGGGTGATCTTATTTGCCATTAGCTGGCTCCTTTCTTGCCTTTAGCTGCATTTCTCTTGGTGATCATTGGGACTCTGGACTCTGATCATCACCTTTATCAGACTCACGTGAGGCCAATTGCTTATTGGCTGGAAACTGACAAGTTTCCCCACATGAAGCATATAGTAGGGGTGAAGAGATGGCTTACTGCATGAGTATGATGATCCGAGTTCAGATCCCCAGCACTCACAAACAAACAGGTGTGGTGGTGGGTACCTGTAATCCCAGCACTGTGGCATAGAGATGAAAGGATCCTTCAGGCTTAGTCATCTAGCCTAACTAGTGAGTTCAAGCTTCAGAGGGAGAGCCTGTCTCAAAACAAATACGGTAGAGGACAAGAAAGGAAGACTTTGACCTCTGGCCTCTGCACACCCATGCACAGACACATACACCTGCATACACACATGTTCACTCACATAGAGAACAAAGTAAATGTTCATTAACTGGAGCTAAAATGGACTAAGATGGGAACCAGAAGCAGGCAGGAACTTGGCAGGTATGAGCCACACATTTCAGAAACAGATCACTCCACACTATTCTTTTTCATTTATTTATCCGCTTGCTCATTCAACAAACATTCCCAAGTACCTGGAATGTCAGCACTGCTTTATGTCTTTATGAGGACGGTAAGATAAAAAAGATCTTGGCTTGCTATATTCACTATAATGGGGAGAAATCAGCCACTTAAATCTTGGGTGACAAAATAGTAATGAGGTCATTTTGAAAAAATGCAAATATGAGTTTGTGGTGGTCAGCCATTAGAAGCTGGGCACTCTAAAAGGGACTCAGAGGAAACCAAGAGCAAACCCCCTCCAAGAAATGTGAAATCCAAAATGCTGTATAGTCCACCCTAACTTCATGTGAGAGACTGCAGTCAAAACACAGGTATACTAAAAATATTCTGTAAAATTATCTCTGGGCTCTATGTCTAAGATATAAATGAAGTTCAGCCTTAGAATTACATATACATGTAATATATATTTATATCTTCCAAAGGAAAAAAATTCAAAAGCCACAACATTTTTGATACTAAGCATTTCAGGTAAGGAATCCACACAGCCTGTATTACGGGCTTGGAAGTACTGTTGTTGAAAATGACACCCCTGTGCAATTTATGATAGATGAGGGAGCAAAAGAATTGAGAGAGTAAATAACTCATTCAAGGTCATCCAGCTCAAAGCAAAGATGTGAATCCCTAACATTACTCATGTGTTCATAAAAACCACCACCAGTTATTGGGCAATTAAGTTACAGCCAGCTAGGTCACAGCATATAGATGCTCCTTAGCTTACAGTGGGTTATGTCTTGATAAATCCATCATAAGTTGAAAATATCTTCCATTGAGCATGCATTTAATTCTTATACTCCACTCCACATGCCAGCTCAGTGACCCAGGGCACTATAGATCATTGGCTATTTCCCTGATTGTGGGGCTGACTGGGATGGAGTCCATACTACTTAGAGTTAGCAAAGGAAAAGGTCAAATC